AGAGACTCCTTTGCATTTGGAAGCGGGGGGTGGGGGTGGGGGGAGGACCAGGGGGATGATTCAACCACTCAACCACTAGATGTCACTGAAAACAACAAATCCTACACACTGTGCCTTTAAATTGAATTCACTTCAAAAGTTACGTAAGTGTCAATGTTAATCCAATGATTACTGGTTATGTTCTTGGAGTTTCATTAAAATCCATCCAGTGTTCATGAGCTATTGATAGATGTTTACCTCCCATGGCAGTTCAGAAGTGTAATAGCATCAAGTTGACTTCACTAGTATCTGTAAGTAGTATCTGTATCACAACTGCTAAGATGGCAGAAGACATGTTACGCCAACCTTGGTATTTTGTCAAAGAGTACAGAATGCTAAATGGGCTTAGCTAACTTAATATCTCTGCACTACAGTCCATCCTTATCACTATGTTTACCTAAAGACTTTGCAAAAACCTCTTTTCTCACTAACTGCGTTTCCATTGCAAATGTGCACAAAACTTTATTGATATTCTGTTAATGTCAAAACAACACAGTTTTGCAATTGTGGTGTTTTCATTAAGCAAAAAATGCTATTAAAGTCACACGTGAATATGTTTGTTCTCGCGATAAGTCATTACAAACATGGCGGCAATGGATGTAAACACATGCATATTTCTACCACAACACTAGTGCTCATCATCAGAGGAGATGTCGGCGTCTTATCGAGGCTTTTGAGCGACAAGCCCCTTATACTTGCAAGCGGTTATGTATGCAGCATTTTTGGGAAATTTTAATCTGTGATTTTACTACTTTCTGTTACAACTTCGGTGATTTTACTACTACTTCTGCTTCCTATTATCTTCTTCTTCTTTGTCTTTTTCGCCAGTAGAAACATACGGTTGTTGATCACATGACACCTGTGATGCAAAAAAAGTGTTTCCATTGCAGTTTTGCGAAATACACCAATTTCGATATGGCCGAAAAACCACCTTATCCTAGTGCAAAACCATTTTGTCAAAAAAAACGTAAGTTTTTTTCGAAATTGATGTTTCCAGTAAGCAAATTTATTTTCGAAATTCTAATTTTCACATTTTCATGGTCAATGGAAATGCAACTATTGACACAGCTGCATGGCACGAATTTTGTAATTTCAGTCTTGCAGGCAATGCCAGAACTCGTTCTTTCCACAGGGTCCTGGCAGAACTTTTTTCTTGCAGGTTATGCACAAAGTATGGTGTGATTGGTCAGAATCACACAATATTTGCGCATTTATTCCCCCTCATAGGCGTGTTTATGCCGAAAAACTGGTGAACTACAATTTTCATTTTGCTTCAGCTGCTCCACTCAGAATCAGCTGGACGAGGCTGTTAGAAAACACATCCGTCTTTACAACTTTTCCAGTGAAACTGACAAAGATAGTCAAATAAACCCTATAAAGATAGGCAAAGAACTTGTGGAAGGAGGCAGCACAACATTTGGAACATTTGGAAGAGATGGAGACACAAGGGGCTGTCTGTGGTGGTGCTGTCCAGGTGAATGTGCACCTCACCTCATCAGATAGAGTGGATGTCTCTTTGTGACAAATCAGCAAAATCTTCTTGGTTAACAACAGAAATACCAGGTCCTCCTTTTCCTTTTCTAACATGTTCTTCTCCTCCATCATCAACTGAATAGTAACATTCATCCCTGTTGCCCTCGCTGTCCTGTTTATATGCTTTAATGTGTCTCAACAGGAGTTCTCAGCAGTTTCTCTTTGAGTATAAAACATCCCTGTGAAAAATAATGTCTCACCACCTCGTGAGCGACAACAGATCATATCTTGTGAAGTAGCAACCTTAAATCTTCTCCCCTTTTTGGCTTTTACCTTGTCTTCACTCCTTTTCAGACGTAATAAATGACTTTTTTATGTTGGATGGCAGTGTAACCATTTCATCTCTAGATGGGGTTAAAATAAATCCTTTTCCTGGTGTGAGGACATTTACTTCCTACTGTGCAATGATTTGATCAAGAGATCTGAAGGCTGTCTCTTTTTGCAGCACTTTGACCCTTGGTGTGATTAGCATATGACTGTAGAGCTGTGTGTTAGGTTGAACAAAGGTTTACAAGAGTGCAAGTGAGTATATTCACTTTCACGCTTCATTTTTAAACCTTTTCTTTAAAAGTGACCATAGATCAAACACATGCATGTTCTCATGGAAACCAGGTGAAAGCCTGAAGGTTTGGATTATTTGGAACAGCAGGTAGGAATATGGAGGTTTCCTGCTCCTACTTTTTTGAATGATCTTCACCCTCCACTGTTATTTTTCTCTGACTTTCATATATGATCATGTATGAATGGTTGATGATTACATTGTCAATATAAAATGCTGTTACCATGAGAGGCAAAAGTAACTTAAATCATGTTGTTCTAGTAACACTCATAATCATTTTAGTGTTTGCTAATGTTGATTAGCTGAAGCAGCCATCCTGAATGGTATTGAGAGTTAGCTGTTTCATCAAAGTCCAGTCATTGATTCATTAGATATTTTGCTAACAAACAAGGTTGATTCCAACAGTTTCTGCTAAAATTTTATCCAAACATCTCACAGAAATTGCACTTGGTCTGTGTCATAAATGACTCTTGGCTACGACCACACCAGATTTTAAAACAATATCTGTTTGACAGAGCTATTTTTGTGTTTGCTAAGTTCAGCTGTCTGTCATGGACATCTTGAATCTAAACATTATTCACTTGTAGTATATTTTTGGAAAATTTAAATACAAATTTTGCAGTGGTTTCTGGGGTATTTTGCTAACAGACTGACAGAGATGACTCCAAATACTTAAAAGCGAAATTTAAAGTGCCCATGAAATATGAAAAGTCAAAGAAAATATATTTATATTTAAGAAACTTGGCATAATGCACATGATTTTACCCGTTATGTCACATAATTGGCACGTTTTCTTTTGAATTTGGCTCAGCTAAAGCGAAACAGGAAGTGACATCAAAGGAGAACTCTGAGAAAGAACACTCCCTGGTTTTTATTTATTGAAACAATATTATTTGAACAATGGGCCTCATGCAAGAACATGTTCGTATTTTTATCCTAAATTTCTCTTACTTTTGTTCGTACAAAGGGTTCGTACGAACATGTCACGTCAGATTCAACAAACTCTTCTATCTTCAGGAAAAGTGTGTAAATTTCCACCTGTTCTATCCAGCTGCTCGTGCACGCAAG